GGGACCTCCGCTCTTTCAAATATTTTTAACTGATGGTGTGCATGATCAAAAATGTGGTGAGCACCAACTAAACATCCTTTTCTATTTCTAGTTTTAAGAATTATGGAATTGCCCTGAAGGTTTTTATTCTAAGAAAAGAAATTAAAAATGGGTGTAAAATACTAGTCAAATCACTGACCTTTCAAATGGCAGTTTATTTATTCATCATTATTTCAAATAACCAGCCATGCTAGTCTGGTCATTTGTGAGAGCGTGCAGTGGCTCTGCAGGATAAACACTGGACTATGAACCACAAGGTCGGCAGTTCGAGTCCACCAGCTGCTCCATGGGAAAAAGATGAGGCTTTCTGCTTCCATGAAGATCAACAGCCTCAAAACCCCTCTACAGGGTTGCTGTGAATCACAACCAACTCGTCAGCATTTAACAACAACAACCTTATGACAACCCAATCCTCTGTTTGAGGCACTGAATGCATTAGATTAAATCCACCATTTTGTGGTGATTCGGTCATGTCTAATTGGAAAGACTTGGGAGTTTTTTTAGTGAGGGATTCAAAAAGGAAAAGTTATGAAGGGGGGAAGATACTACCCACTTATGATGCTTCACTAGGTTAAGTATTTTCTTTCTTTCCTTTTCAATCTATTTCACCTTGTCTTGGAGCAGAACTTAAATGACTTCAACCTTTAAAAAACATTCCTCTTAACCTACTCTGCCATGGGAGATGAAGGAGCACAGTGAAGGATAAAAGAGGCTTATTTCTAAATGATTAAAAATGCACCTGGTATTCTCGGCAGCCCCTGCGTATACCATAACTAACCGCTGTCCCTTGAGTTTTATTTAGTATGCGGGAGGTGTAGAAAAAAATCAACATCTTGATGAGAAGAAAACCCTGAAGCCTGGGTTGGGACAGGGCTTTAATTTTTTTTTAAGACATAGTTACAAAAATTACCTGATGTTCAGGTTGTTCCTTTAGAAGGAAAAACGGCAGAAAGAACACGAAGAACTAAAATGAACCTACAGAGTGCTTCCCTGCCCCAAGGGCTGCAAACACGTAGTTTTGCAACGGGAATTACACTGACTACTTACTTTCTATTCTGTGCCAGACATTGAGCTGAGGGCTCTACAACAATCATTTCATTGAATGTTCACCACATTGACATGTTTATAGGATAAGATCAAATGGCAGGAGGTTCCTAGAGTTTCTTTGTTCACAGAACCCTTAATGGGTCTGTAATGACTTCATAGCACTTCTAGACCAAAAAGCACTGCCTAACATGTGGCACTGTGGGTTAATATGCTGGACGGCAAAGTTGGTTTGAACAGTAAGGTCAGTGGTTCAAGCTCACCAGCAGCTCCTAGGAACCCCTATATACTATGAGTCAGAACTGACTTGATGGCACTTAACAACAGCAATATTTCTGTTTATTAAGTAGTTCAACCCAAACTACTCAATACTTGTGGTTTGCATAGATGCTGCTATTTCCTTTAAACATTTAAAATAGCCCACTAGGCTTCTCTGACTTTGTTGCAGATCCCCCAGAATGCCTCAGCACAGAGTTTGGTAACCGCAGACGGTGTAGCTATGATATAGAGACTATTCGGATATACATATGTAATCAGTAACCTGTTGCCATTGTCTAGTCAAGTCTGAGCTCATATGTACCAGAGTAGGGCTTTCAGTAGATGGTTTCTCAGAGAGAGAATGCTGGACCTTTCCTCCAGGATGTATGGAGGTGGACTCAAACTACCAACCATCTGATTAGTAGCTGAATACATTAACCATTTACACCATGCAGAAACTCCATATATATATACTTCGGACATATTGTCAGGAGGGACTAGTCACTGGAGAAGGTTATCATGTTTGGTAAGGTGGAGGGTCAAAGAAAAAGAGGAAGACCCCCAATGAGATGGATTGGCTAAGTGGCAGCATCGATGGACTCAAGCATGGCAAAAGTAGTGAGGTTGGCCCAGGATCAGGCAGTGTTTTGTTCAGCTGTGCATAAGGTCGCTATGGTTCGGTACCGACTCAATGGCACCTACCAACAACAACAACATATATAGGAGTCCTGGTGTAGCACTGTGGGTTAATGCGTCAGACTGCAAAGCCATTTGAACTGCACGGTAGGCAGTTCAAGCTCACCAGCTGCTCCTCGGAAACCCTATATAGGGTCGCTATGGGTCAGAACCGACTCGACGGCACTTCACAACAACATAGACAAAACTGACCTCCCCCCAAAAAAACCCCAACAACAACAACAAAAAAACCCAAGCCCACTACTGTCAAGTGGATTCCGACTCATAATGGCCCTAGAAGGCAGAGCCAAACTGCCCCAGGGGGGTTTCAAGGCTGTATTCTTTATGGGAGTAGACAGCCTCATTGTTCTCCCACAGAGTGGCTGGTGGGTTTGAACTTCTAACCTTGCTGCTAACAGCTCAATGGTTAGCCCACAGCACCATCAGGGATCCTTATATAGACACATCAATACGATAGAATCTTGTTATGGGTTGAACTGAGACCGTCTTTGAGAATGAGACCTTATTTGGAAATAGGGTGATTGCAGATGTACTTCATTCAAATAAGGTCATTAGCATGGACCCTGATCGCTTTACAATTGGTGTCTTCAAAGAAGAGAGGAAGTATAAACACACAGACACTGAGGAATTATGGCTATGTGAAGACAGAGGCAGAGAATGGAGTTATGCTGCCCAAACCAAGGAACCCCGAGGCTACCAGAAGCTGGGAAAGACAAGAAAGAATCTTCTCTTAGTCGTCAGAGAAAACATGGCCCCGCTGAAACCCTGAATTTGTACTATCAGCTTTCAGAACTGTGAGAAAATAAATTTCTGCCACCAGTTTGGGACACATGTTATAGCAGCCTGAGGAAAGCAATACAATCCACAAAGTGAAGAAACAGACCCAGTAGGTTTACCCATTTGATTTGTGATGATGCTGGAGTCTGGATCCAGAGCCTGTATACCAGACCCTCTCCTTCCCTCTTCCTGACTCATTGCCTTTAGAGCTTGCCAGTACCTCCTCTCTGCATTTGGTACAACCTGCAACCGCACCTCCCACTCCACAACATACACACGTGCGAACACACATGTATGTAGACATGGAGGCACATCCATGTGTTGGTTCCCTGTGTTCAAACAATTCTTTTCTGCCTTTCCCAAAGTCGTCCAGCTTCAGCTCCCAGGCCCAAGTTCACATACTCATCTCTCCCACGTCAAAGCCTCTCTCTATATGTGCAGTGGCATGGTCGTGGCATGGGGTCTGATGTTCTCTAATTGTTCTACTGATATGACTGTCATGTTTTCATGAATACTGCAAGCTGCTAAAGCACTATGTGCTGTCCTGTGCTGGCTAGATAGGACCTGTGGCCACTGAGTTGATTCTACTTCACATCGACCATAGAAGACACAGTAGAACTGTCCATAGGCTTTCCTGGGCATTCCATCTCTACGGAAGCAGACAGCTCATCTTTCTTCCAAGGAGTGACTGGTAGGTTTGAACCACTGGCCTTCTTGTTAGCAGCAAAACACCCCCTGTGCTACCAGGGCTCTGGTTATGTAGTCATTGTTATTATGGTTAGGTGTCATCAAGTCGGTTCCAACCCATAGCAACTCTATGCAAAAAAGAATGAATAACTGCCCAGTCTACATACATCTTGGAAGTCTACATACATCTACATACATCTTGGAAGAAAGGCCTAACATTCTTTATCCTACAGGGCAGGGGTGGGGAACCTTCTTTCTGCCAAAATTTATAACTTCGTTCTCAGGCCATATAAAATTATCAAGTTAAAAATTAGCCTGCTACATTTAATTAACTCACCCCTAATAGAATGGCTGGAGAGCTGGTGTGGTGCTGTGGGTTAATGCGCTGGACTGCAAAGTTGGTTTGAACTACAAGGTTGGCGGTTCAAGCTCACTAGTTGCTCATGGAAACCCTATACAGGGTTGCTATGGGTCGGAACCGACTCGACAGCCCTTCACAACAACAATGACAAAAATGTGATGGCTGGAGTCCTGGTGTGGTGCCATGGGCTAATGCGCTGGACTGCAAAGTTGGTTTGAACCACAAGGTTGGCAGTTCAAGCTCACCAGCTGCTCCTTGGAAACTCTATACAGGGTCGCTGTGGGTCAGAATCAACTCGATGGCATTTAACAACAATGTGATGGCTGGACCTGCAGTTGCTTTGGAAGGGCCACTCCAAATGATTTTGCAGGCGTTATACAGCTTGAGGGCTGGACATTCCCACCCCTGCTAGAGGCTTTCTAGAGATTAGAATCAATTTGATGGTAGGTAATAACATGTAGGGTAACAGTAGTATAGAATAGGGAAAGAGGAAGAGGGTAAAATGAAATGGAAAACAACAGAAAAGGCCTAAGAGAAGAACATGCACCCAGGGATTCGTGGAAAACAAAAAAGCAATAGATGATGAGCTAGCAATTGGTTAGTGAAAAGATGGGGTGCTGGGCTTCAGAAAAAACGAACCACCTGGGCAATTTGAATACACGTTCCTAACTACATCATTTTCTCCACTATTGTGTCTCCAGGCAGTTGGAATGATACAAATATGTCATATTTACTTATAAAACTTTAATGGAGTTTCAAAAAAAAAGAATCAAAATTGAACTCTAGGAAGAAAAGAAGAAATAGAGAGAGGGAGAAGCAAGAACAAGGTGCCTGTGTTCTTGAATGATGAAATGAGGTTGAGTGAATGATGGAACCATTTATGCCAGCACTCTGTCTCCAAGTGCCAGGCTGTGTGGAGAGATAGACCGCCTGTTATGAGGTAATGCACATGAAAGACATTTGTATACGCCGCAGGGCTATAATAACAATAACATTAGTTACTGTTATTACAGATCCAGCAGCACATGTACCTAAAGGCTTTCAAATGAGAACGCCTTCACAATTGCCCTGAAATGCCAAGCACCCATGCGCTCTTGATTTTTCTGTTTTGAGAGGCAGCCAGGATGGAAATACTCACCATGGTCAGAGTGTCCTGGCTGGGTGGCACAGCATGCGACTGCTCCTGCAGAGATTTATCTGCACCAACCTCCGAGTAGAATACCTTGAAAAGATGTAGATGTCTAGGTGAAAGCAGAGCCAGTACATCAAAGACATCAAAGGCTTTGGTTCTATTTGCACTCACAACCACAGTGGGTTTGAGGTGCAAGCCTTCATTTCATGTACACTCATGCTGGGTCTGCAAACTCATAAGCCTACAGAGTCTGGGGGAAGATGCAAATCAGAGAAGTGGGATGGAAAGGAATAGACCCAGCGTTTCTTTATTTTTTTTACCTGAAAGCTGTGGAATCTTTCAGGAAATCTTTCATTTTTTCTACTTTTGATATGACATAGATCAAAGACATTCCTGTACTTAAAGAGATGCCATGATAAATGGCAACTGTCCCTTGGTCTTGGTGGTCTTAGGATTAGTGGGTCCATGAGGTCATGGGGGGGCTTACATTCATTAAAGCTCAGTTCCAGTGGGCTGGATCCTGTAGGAATGTGGGTCCAGCATGGCAGCTCTTTCCACTGCCCCAGAGATCTGAGAACTCCAGATTTACCGGAAAACTCCTGATGTCTACAACTTGACTCATTTTAATAAATGTGGCCCAAACCAAACATTTTGGTGAATTGAAATCAACCCTATATAGAAGCTCTCTATGGAGGAATGCATTCTGTCTTCCATCCTTCACTTTTCCTGTCCTCCCCCTTCCCTTTAATTCAGATGCTACATGGTGTGTACTATCGACAACATTCCACAGTGATTTTCAATTTTTTCCCATGCTTCTACTTTATTTTTCTAATTTGACGGTTAGCAATTGGGTGGTAGGAACCACATGTTCTGATTAGTTTACATTTTTCCAATCTTGAACAGAGTAAGGACAGGGTAGATCCTAATTGATTAACAACGCTGTGATGCTCAGGGCACTTATGTATGGCCCTGGAAAGGGACACTTTCCCCTGGTTTCACAGAGGGAGCGTAGGGAAGATTAGTGATTATATAGCAGTTCCATGGGAGAAAGATGAGGCTTTCTGCTCCCGTAAAAATTTATAGCCTCAGAAACCCTATACAGGGTCGTTTTGAGTCAGAACCAACTCCATGGCATATAACCACCCCCATACATATCTATGGAGTCCTGGTGTGGTACTGGGGGCTAATGCATGGCACTTCAAGATTGGTTTGAATGGCAAGATTCAAGCTCACCAGCTGTTCCTCAGAAGCCCTATACAGGGTTGCTACGAGTCAGAACCGACTCGATGGCATTTCACAAGAACAGCATACATATATATGCATGTGTGCATATAAATATATGTATCTATGTATATGTTGTTGTTAAGTGCCGTCGAGTCGGTTCCGACCCACAGCGACCCTCTAGAGGGTTTCCAAGGATTGACTAGTGAGCTTGAACCACCAACCTTGCAGTTCAAACTGACTTTGCAGTCTAGCGCATTAACCAACATCGCCACACCAGGACTATAAATGTATATAATTAATTAATATATGGGAAGACTGGTCAATGGAGGCTGTACATAGAAGGAGCAAGGATGGGAAGAGAAGTCACTCCAACAGACCCACCAAAGAAATCACATGTCTGTCCACTCACAGTGTACCCAGCAATGGGACTCCCAGGATGCCTTGGCACTTTCCACTGGACACGGATAGCTGTGCAGTTCAATGCCTCCAAGAAGATACTGAGAGGAGACTCCACCTTGCCTGCACCAAAAGAAAAGACATTGTTTGAGAAACTCCAAGCATTGCACCTTGGGTATACTACCAGAAGTCTTACATATTATATGACACGCGATGCATGATACATGCTCTTATAGGCTGTTTGTTGTATTTGGGGGTGGGGTGGTCATCAAGCAAATTCTAACTCCAGTGAACTCAGTTGTGCAGAACAGGACTGTACTTTGCAGGGTCTTCAAGGCTGTGATCATTTGGAAACATGTCACCAGGTCTATCTTCTGAAACACCAAACTTTTGGTTAGTAGTTGAGCACTTACCCATTTGTACCACACAGGGATTCCTATATAATACACACATATATTCATTATATGCAATACATAGTTTGGGGAGCACAGTGGCTCTGTAAGATAAGCACTGGACTGTGAACCACAAGGTCGCGGTTCAAGTCCACCCACGGCTCCAAGAAAGAAAGATGAGGTGTTCTGCTCCCACAAAGATTTACAGCCTCGGGTTGCTCTGAGTTAGAACCGAGTCAACGGCAATTGACAACAAGAACAATGCATAGTTTAATGGTGTGTTCATTATATACATAATCACAATTTAAAATGATATTTTACTTAATAGTAGCTATAGTATCACAACATACTGACTGTAAGCTCTTCTACTAATGCACGTGCCAAAACTTAACAGTAATTGGCATTTCACTATTAGGTCATCTCTTTTCATGATTTTTCTACTTTAAGTAATAATCCACGGTGGCAGAAATCAGGTCTGTCCTATTCACAGCCTACTCAGCAGTAAGAGCTCAGCGAACATTCTTGAGTGAATGGATGTTTGGCAATGTTATTTCCCATTGACTAAGTCCTGACAAGCTCTCTAACTTCTGTGTATAATTATTTAGTGTATCAGTTAGGATACTTGTCCTGGTGCAGCGAAGTGGGTTAATGTGCTGGACTGCAAAATCTGTATGAACTGCAAGGTCGGTGGTTCAAGCTCACCAGCTGCTCCTCGGAAACTCTATACAGGGTCGCTCCTCGGAACTGACTTGATGGCACTTAGCAATAACAAGAGCTACATATCTATATGTTGTACTATATATATGGGCTTCCAACCAATATTCTTAATAACAGAACCCATGGTCGTTCTGGCAGGCCAAATAATGGAGGCTCTGAGCTGTCATTTAGAACTGAAGGCCAGGAGGCTGTTCCCTACTTAGCTACATACACCTCTTTGTACCCACTCTAGGATTTGAACTTCAACAATCCTACAGCCTCTGCCTCAAGATTCAAAGTGTCATCTGGTTGACAAAACAGGTCATTTAACTTCTCTTGACTCAGCAAAGGGGTTGTTGTTGTTATTAGGTGCCATCAAGTCAGTACCAATTCATAGCACCCTATGCACAAGAGAACAAAACACTGCTCAGTCCTGGGTCAACCTCACAGTTGTTGCCCCATTTGAGTCCACTGATGCTGCCACTTGGCCAATCCATCTCACTGGGGGTCTTCCTCTTTTTCTCTAGCCTTCTACCTTACTAAACATGGTATCTATCCTTCGCCAGTGTCCAAAGTATGAGAAACGAAGTTTGACCATCCTGGCCTCCAAGGAGCATTCTGGCTGCACCTTTTCCAACACAGAGCTGTCTGTTCTTTTGGCAGCC